GAAAACGCGTTTAACAAAAACGCCAGAAAACGGTTAATTTAACGGTCGCTAGCAAACGCGTTGTCAAAGAACGCGTTATTCTAAACTTCTGAATGACAAAAACGCGTTTAAACGGCTCTTTTAACGATCGTTCGCTAACGCGTTCGGAAAAAACGCGTTTTTCGTGTCGTTTCTAACGATTTTTTTTCGCCTGGGCAAGCAAATTCTTCTAAGACTCATCTGAATAAACAAGCCGGATTGATTTCTAACCTGCTTACTTCATTTTCTTACATTTTTCAGTTCATTTCTACTTCTTGCAGCGAGTACGGTTCTGAACGCGTGCATCGAAGTGTATTTATAAATTGTCTTGACCGTGTTTCACTTTCGGAGTTTGAGATTATATGCTAATTATTTTACGAATTCTTTGTGACCAATTCTCTTAGCGTCTCCTGAGTTAATTAATTAAGACAGTAAAGTGTTGCAACATGAATAGTTCGATGGCCGCTCCTAGATATTCATTGTAATCATTTGTTTATTATAATCATAAGAATGTTACAGAAAACGATGAAATAACCAATTACGGTCTTTACTATTGTGACCTGTATGACCTGGTGACACAAAAATGAGAAAAAAAATAGATAAGTTTGAGATGTATTTCTCTAAAAAAACCATGTCATAAGGTTTTGTACAATCTCGAAAACGGGCGTTTCGTTTGCCTTAAGCTTATTATAATGAGCCTAACATATTGAGGCAACTTTATAGTATTAATATCAGATCTTAAAATGCAGTTAAATAAATTAAGCATAGAATTCTCTTTTGGAGAGAACTTTTTCAACCAATAGGACGATATGGACAGTAACGTAGAAAAGGAAGAGAGTAAAAAGGTCAACATTAGTAACTACGAGGCTCATTGTCCACATTCAAGCCTGCAGGTTAAGGGAAGGTGTGTTCTTTGAGGCGATTTATTTATGTTTAAAACTTTTCCCAAACAATATTTCAGTATTTACTAGCAAATAGACGTTTTTCTTCATTTTGCTGTGGTGAAATCCAACTTTATATCTCACATGAGCTATAGTCTACTCTGTTACTGAAAACGAACCATTTGTTGACCGTTGGAAAGCAAAGGGAGCATCCTTAAATAAACGTTCAACGGAGAGTTAAACCAACTGATAGAAATCTTTATTCTTTTATAAGGTGACATAGTAAATGTTCAAGCAGAATAAAATTTAGAGTAGAAAACCGTTTCATGTTATTCACTAACTACTGTTTATTTAGAGAGGTTCCATTTATTCGTTTTTCTCTTTACTCTTTGACCATTTCTCGTAATTCATTCGTTGTCGTTTCAATTCACTATTTGCCATTATCCAAGCATCCGTTATCGGCTCATAATTTCTGTTCGGATCTGTTTGTGTATAAGGAACAGGTCCATACTCGGGATCTAGTGACGTAAACTGACGTTTCTGTTTAAAGTGTTCTTCCCATATTTGTTGCCAATATTGTTGAAACATATCGCGCTCCTCTCGCCAGTGAGAATCGTTTATATCACCAGATATCTGTGCATGTTGATCATATCCAACGCGCGCATGAATGTGATCAACATGTGAAGCAAATAGTTTCATATAAGCAGGATCTATTTTTTCGAAAAGAAGAAAAAAAATAAAACTAAGTGACACATTTGACACTCCTCAACACCTTTTAAGTTACCTAGCAGTCGTTCACAAACAACAATCCAGTGACTGTAGTCAGCTGTAATACGAAGATCTGGAAATTTTTTCAATAGATGTTCAGTCAAAGATGGATTAAACAATGAACGTCCACGATGTGTTTCATGCGAACTTGTTACTCTAAAGTTAGACTGTAATTTCAATGCTTCGCCAAAGAATTCTTCCTGCTGTTGTAAATTCCAGTTATCTGCGCCACTCATGATATTGATATGTACACAGAGTGGCTTGCATTTCTCTGTTATTTCAATCATTTCCTTTTTTAAATTATCTAAATGTTGTGTAACTGACATCTCACGATAGGTATTCGGTTTAAAATCTTCCCAGTTCGTGTAGACTATGCCGATCACGTCTAATTGATTGTCTTTCAATGTGGATAAGAAGTCACCGTGGTTCTTACTGTTTTCTGTTAAAGATTTTAAAGCTCCTAGTGAGACTTCAATACCGTTGTAATTGAGACGATGTAATTCAGGTAGTACTTGTTTATAATCACAAGAGTAAAGTTCTGTTCCCCAAGTGTTACGATAGATTTTCAATTCAGGTACTGCATATGATGACATTTTGGAGTATTAAACAAAATAGTAACTTTTATATTTCTGGTCCGTGAAATAAGAAGAAATAAAAGAACAGCGAAAAGATAAGAAATGAAAGAACAGCTAAAAGATAAGGAATGATTTCTTTTTCTTCTGTTATAGTTGACTGTTACAATTACAATCAGACTATAAAAATATAGCTAATCGGTATTAATGACTGATGAATATAAAATTGAAACCAAATGATTATGTACTGCAGCCTGGATGTAGATAGGCATGCACCAGTTACAGTTTTTGGACGGTTAACTGTAACTGTTATAACTGTCATAACTGTAAAACTGTAACTGTCATAACTGTAAAACTGTAACTGTCATAACTGTAAAACTGTAACTGTCATAACTGTAAAACTGTAACTGTCATAACTGTAAAACTGTAACTGTATAACTGTTACTAACAGTTATACAGTTATGACAGTTACAGTTTTACAGTTATGACAGTTATAACAGTTACAATTAGTAATTGTAACTGTTATAACTGTCATAACTGTAAAATTGTAACTGTTATAACTGTAAAACTATAACTATCATAATTGTTCCGAAGATAGTTCAGAATGAGTTATCGTTGTACTAT